GCAGTAGGTACATGCTTATAGACATTGCTTTAAAAAATAACAAAAACACTTTTTTTACATTTACCAACACATTTACCATTTCCAGCACCCTTCATTCCTTTATATAGACCCAGATTTGCATCTGATATCATTTTTCTTCTGCCTGAAGAATGTACTCTAACATTTCTTACAGTGCATGTCTCTAAGATTTTCTTTATCTCAAAATGTCTTTTTTTTTTTTTTCTTTTAACCTTTTCACTGAAACACATTTTCACTGGGTATTATATTCCGGGTTGACTTTATTTTTCTTTCATTACTTTAAGATGTCTTTCAGTTCTCTTACAGCTTACATAATTTCCAAATGAGAAATCTATTGTGAGTCTTACTGTTATTCTTCTGTACATAATCTACCTGCATCTAAGATTTTATCTTTATTGCAAGTTTTCAGTAATTTCCTTATAATGTGCATTACTGTATGTATGTGTGTTTTAACATTTATTCTGCTTGGGTTTGGTTGAGCTTCTTGGATCTGTAGGTATATACTTTTTATCAAATGTGAAAAATTTTTGGTGATTTCTTTCAAATTTTTTTTTTCTGTTTCCTCCCTCCCCCACCTTTATCCCCGGGGATCCAATTACATGTATATTAGAGCACTTGTTATTGTTCCGTAAGTCACTGAGGCTGTGTCCATTTTATCAATTGTTTTTCTCTCTGTGCTTCATTTTTGATAATTTCTAATGCTTTGTAACCATTATTTTATCTTTGTGGTGTCTAATCTATTGTATTTTTAATTTCAGGATAATATTTTTATCTCTAGAATTCTATTTGGGTCTTTTTATATTGTTCACTTCTTGCCTCATTTTATAGGTCATGTTTTTTGCTTCTTTGCATGCCTGATAATTTTTTATTGGCTGATGGACATTTTGAATTTTATGTTTTTGAGTGGTACATCTTGTATTCCTTTAAAGGGCATTGGGTTGTGTTCTGGAAAGCAGTTCAGTTTTTTGTGGATGAATTTGACCCTTTTGAGGCTTTCTTTTAAGTATTATTAGGACAGCTCTTCCCAAAAGACTAGACTAGAGTCCAATAGTACCCAGACTAGAGTAGCTTCTAGGGTTTAGTTCCACTACTAAGATATGACCTTTCTGAGGATTCCATCCAATGTCATATATAATATGAGGCTTCTGTCCAATGTCATATATAATGTGAGGCTTCTCCATTATGTGTGAGCTCCAGGAATTGTTCAGCTACTGCCTACCAGTGGTTGTCTTCCATTTCAAGTAGTTTCTTCTCATTCATGTCTAGTTCAGTACTCAGAAAAATACTGAGGAGCTACCCTGCAGATTTCCAAAGCCCTCTCTCTCTTTTTTCTCCCTCTTCTTCATTTCTGTGCCTTACAAATCCTCTGCTTTGACCTCCCCAAACTCCAATCTATTCTCCTTACTTAGGAGTAAGTTTCCTTCTTGGGTTGTGGCCTGGAAACTGCCTCCAGGCAGTAACTTTGGGTCAATTATAATCATTGAAAGAATATTTTTTATATTTCATTTTATATATGTCAGTCACTTGTAGGGTTCACCTCACTTGTTTTCCACAGTTCTATATCTGCTATCCATTTTCTGAAAAGAGCAGTTTCATGTATTTTGTCTAGTTTTCAAATAGTTTACAGTAGGAAGGCAATTCCTATAGCAGTTAATTCTTCATGAAGCAGAAGTCCTACCAACTGTACAACTTTTTAAAAGACAGTAGTTGTAGGACTAGTTTTTCAATAGCCAGAAATAATGTATAGAAGAATAAGGAGAGATTTTATGGAAAGACATGGGGCCATTCAAAGTTGTGAACCTGTAATAGACTATCTTACACTTGGCAACAGTGTAGCTAATGCATTGCCTATTTTCCTGATCCTAATCACTGGGCAGGACTCTATCAAATAAATTCTAAGCTCCACCGTGTATAATGTTGGGTCTCCTACTGTCTGTGGCCTAGACAGTTTACTTCTAGAGATTTAGAGGCCGGGCAAGGGTTGCTCTTGGAGGATCCCAGCAGATCTTTCTCTTTGTGCCTTAGATTCTGTATCTAGCTTGTTGTCAAATCCCTCACCATTACCCTATCTGACACACTACTCCCCACTCAATTTCCCAGTCTCTCAACACTTTTTGAAATCATTCAACTCTCCTCTCAGTGACTAAGTCATGCACTGTTTCACCAGCTCCTCATGTGTGAATCTCTGAATGTGTGCTAACGTTGGAGTTGAATGCCTGCTCCATGGCAGAACCCAGTATCATGGTATGTAAGTTCCTACGCTAGCTATCCATGGACCAAATGGGGGCTTAACATTCAAAGGTCCATGCCAATGATTTCAGTCTGTCCAAGGGAACCATTGAAATTTATCCCCCAGGAAATTTATGTTCATATGGACTACCCCATCATGTTCACAGAATCTCCCTAAGATAATGTAAGCTTAAGATTGTTAGTACTTCTAGGATCCACAGTGTTGACCAAGGTTTCTCAACTTTAGCATTATTCACATTTGGAGCTGGATAATTCTTTGTTGTTTGGAATATCCTATGAATTATGGGATGTTTAGCAGCATCCTTGGCCTCTACCAACTAGATGTCAGTAGCACCCTATCTCAGTTCTGACAACCATAATATCTCCAGACATTGCCAAATATCCTCTGGACGTACAAACTTATCTACTGGTATAGAGACCCTGTTATGTGCCATACTCCAGGGAACTCCTAGAAGTTAAGCTCAGGGAACTGAAGAACCCCAGCAGACCATTTGGTGTCTTTGGAGAGATCAGTTTAGAGAGTTTGCCCCATGTAGAGTGGACAATCGGTGGATATTGACCTTGGAATGTAAACTCCTGTGTTCAAGTGCTGCCTCTGCAGATGTGGAACCAGGTTCTCTACTCTGCTCTTCAATTTCCTTATTTAAAAATGAGGAATGGTGTTGTTTACCTCACATGACGTTGTAGTAAAAATGAATGGGGTTTTACACACACACACACACACACACACACACACACACACACACACACACTGATGTATACCTCTATATGATGCAAAGATAAACTAGCATGGACTTAATAATGGTTAAAATATAAGTATTTATTCGTTAGCATGATTAAAGGGCAATATAGGAAAAATAAATCTTTCAGTCCATCATGTAGAATAGCTTCCTTGGGCTTACAATATTAGAAGACACAATAGGGGGTGTCTAAGCTTAAAAAGAGGAAAAGAAAAAAAAACAGTCTTTGCAGCAATAAAATTTCAACCAAAGTAAGATGCAAATAGCCACATTTGTATATTTAGTTCTTAATTTTGCATTCAGTAATTGGACAGTCTGTATAAGAATTTAAATGTCTTGATGGGAGATAGTGGCTTTTAGTTCTCTTGGGATTTCATTGTAATGAACCTGGTAAATAATTCAGGAACATATGAGAGGCCAATGAATGGGCAACACCTGGTGCTATATTGTTCATGCCTAAGCATGCAGAATCCAAAGATGGCATTCTACACCTGTCACTATTGTTCTGGCTTAAACACAAGTTCTATGTTCAGTGGCTATTGAAATAATAATAATTGATATTTTTCCTGTTCCAGTTCCCTCCACAATAAAGAAAACAGGCTAAGCTGTTTCAGAAACACAAAACAGAAGTGGCACCCTCTTTCAAGTTCCCATTGGTAAAATTTCTAATCTGTTTTCTCTTTCAAGGGATAGATTGCTTTAAAGAATTAGGAACATGTCTACCTTTTCTGTTGAGGCTACTCTGAGCCTTTCTGCATTTCTACTTTTGTTCTGTAAATTGAGCTTCCTTTTAGATCACAATATTCATATCGCAAGCATCTTCTAAGAGAAATAACACTGTCCTCTGGCCCCTCATTCACACTGTGGGAATTCCTAGAGCTCTTCAGTGTCTCTCCCTATTACCTGAGTAGACTATCCCACTTTTAGGAGTCTACAAGTTTGAAAACAAACAAAAACCTCTTGGCAAAGGGTTTCTGTATCATTCTGAGACCCCCACTGCCTGGACATGCAATGTTCCTCCACTCACTGAGTGAACAAGAACTCCAATGACTGAAAGACATTTCATGCAGACAGCATGGGTCACCGAAGGCCACTGCCACTCAGGATCAGACAGAGCTTAAGCCATGAGTTGCATGGAAAGATCTTGGAAGGACAGGGGATTTCCCAGTAGGGAAAAAAGGGAGATGGGCCTCACATGTTTAAACTAAAGGTCTTATAGGCTGGGCCAAAGCAAGGGTCTGGAAAGAGACTGTTGAACTTTGTATCTATAAATTGTTAAATGAGCTTTGTCTTTGTTTTTAAAATGTTTTTATTATAGAGGCTTAACATATGTTTATTTAAATATATGTTAAGCCATTGTTATATGTAATAAAGTACATACATAAAATGAAAATATAACTATGTATAATTAAAATATATAAAATAATATTCTTAAACCTCTGTAATAAACCATTTATATATGTTATATAGTATATATTAAAGTAATATATATAATTTGTCTTATATCTGTTTTTATATATGTAATGTGTGTGTGCATATATATATGCACACACATATGTATATATATATACATATATATATGCACACACACACATAATTTGTTTGTTCACAGGTTTAATTGCCTTCCTTTCCTTCTGGACCTGTGTGAGAGTACTTGGAGCAGTGACTGCCATCTGGTGGCAAGCCAGAATCATCACTTTGTGTGATTCTAATGGTTACAAAGATGCCCACTCTTGACTCCCATGGTGTGCACTGCCAGGGCACAAGGAAAGCCTGGAGGGTGTCTGATGAAGGAGCCCAGTGAAACAACCCTTCACTTCCACCTGCACTAGTTGTTCATCCCGGATTCTGAGCCAAGAGCCAGCTCCAAAATGGTGCCTCTGAAGAAAAGATTTGAATTGTTCTTGTGTCTTGGTCTAAGATGTGCTAGTTAACGACCAGCAGGTAACCAAGACTGTGAATAAGCGCACACCGAAAGGGCCACGTGATGACATGGAGCCTGAAATAAACTGTTCCGAACTGTGTGACAGTATTCCTGGCCAGGAGCTGGATCGGAGTCCTCTTCATGGTCTCTGCAGGACAATTGTGAGTGAACAGCCAGGGGGTGTCAGGGCTGCTCGGATATACATGTTGTCATTGTCATTGTCATTGTTGTGGTTGTTGTTGTTAGTGGTGGTGGTGCAGGGGTGATGGTGAGGAGGCGGAGGACGAAAAAGAGGAAATGGGGGGAGGAGGAGGAAATGTTCATGCCGGACACATATTTCCCAGCTTTGGGGATGGTGGGGCAGTTCGTGTTTGATCTATGAAAGAGCTTTCACTCCAACAGCTTCTCTTTATTCTGTTCACAGACCTCTTCCCATTACAGCGGTAAGACCGTTTCTTCGTTATCTCCTGTCCTCTTGGGTGTTGTTTGGACTTTTCTCAGCTGTGGACTTCTTCTGATAGTCTTCTTTCTTGGCTTCACAATTCGCTGCAGGAATAACAGGTAAGTAGCCCCATACCTAGTTTCTCATCCCCTAGAGCCTGAATCAGGAAACCCAGAGTGTAAGTATCATTTTGACATCACGAACTGTTAGATGGTATCAGTAAAACTTATCTCCTGCTGTGGCCTTAAGCTATATGAGAAGTTCCCCTGAGATCATACGGGCCTTGCAGTACAGTTGCCTCTTGAGGAAAAACAATCTAGCCCAGTATTATGGTAACTACTACAAGGATATCCAAAGAGGAGAATGAAGTGTCTCTCCTCATAAAGGAAAGGTATGGTCCTTCTGACAAAATGAGGTATTTGGGGGTTTTTGTTTGTTTTTTTTTTTAATTAGTTTTAAGGGTAGAATTTAGTGATTCATCAGTTGCATATAACACCCAGTGCTCATCACAACAAGTGCCCTCCTTAAAGCCAATCACCCAGTGACCCCATCACCCCACCTACCTCCCCTCCAGCAACCCTCAGTTTGTTTCCTAGAGTTAAGAGTCTCTTAGGGTTTGCCTCCCCCTCTCTCTCTGTTTTCATCATAGAAAATGAGGTGTTTGTATTAAAAACAGAGAGCATGTAGAGAAATATTCCAAAGCAACATTAGAATCTATGGCCAATATAGTTTGGAATCAGCCTAGGTGGGCCAAGATTTCTGAAAAAATAGTGGAGCCCTACTATCCTGTTGATCTGTTAGACAAGTTCTGGCTGGTTAGAAAGTCACTGGCTCAGGGTGCCTGGGTGGCTCAGTCGGTTAAGTGTCTGTCTTCGGCTCAGGTCGTGATCCCGGCGTCCTGGAATCGAGTCCCGCATCGGGCTCCCTGCTCAGTGGGGAGTCTGCTTCTCCCTCTCCCTCTGCCTCTCCCCCAGCTCATGCTCTCTTGTGCATGCACTCTCTCTCTCAAATAAATAAATAAAATCTTTAAAAAAAAAAAAAAGAAAGAAAGTCACTGGCTCATCAGGGTAAGTATCCATGGCTTCCAGGGCTGGCAAAAGAAACTAAATGAAGACTGTTTTCTGAAGGGACTTGCAAAATTCTGCCTTCACTGCTATGGGATCCTTCCCTCAGAGCCCACCCCATCTATCCCACACCAATACTCTTTACCATCATCCCGCCCCTACTGTCCCAGCCTGCCACCTGAGAAGCCCTGCTCCAGCTATCGCTTTGGGGCCCACAGCTAAATTCTGGAAGGAGCCCACATCAGATTTCAACAACTGGTTCAGAGACGTCAGACTCGCCCAGCCCCACTCCAACCTTATACTTTGTGGGGGTCACCTGTGCTCCATTCTCTGGGTTTGGCGCTCAGATGAGGGTCAGTCTGTTGGATTTGTCTAGCAGGCATTTTGGGGCACAGTTGGCCACTTGAGGCATGGAGGACATGGAATTGTTAAAGAACAGTGACTTGAATGGCTGTGTCAACCTTGGCATGGCTGTGACGCAGGGCAATCAAACCTTAGTGTACCTCTGATGCTGCCCCAGCCACTTTTCATTCTGTTCCTCAAATTCACTAAGCCTACTCCCATCTCAAGGCCTTTGACTTACTGTCCCCTTATGTTCCCACTGCCTGCCAGTCTTCTCCAGATCTTCCCGTGACTGGTTCCTTCTCATCTTATAGGTGTTGGCTCAAATATCACCTCTTCCCTGATCATTCTATCCAGAGTAGCCTGTCTACAGAATGGCCATCCAGTTCCAGTATCTCAATCCATATATTATCACCCTGTTTTATTTTCTTATAGCAATTATAACTCTCTGATATTACCATATTTATTGATTTGCCTGTTTATTGTCTGTATCTCCCATCAAAATGTACAGTCTTTGGACACAGGGACTTTGTCTATCATGCTCACCACTGTCTCCAGCATTTAGAACAGATTCTGGAACATAATAGGTTCTCAGTAAATATATTTTCAGTGACCCTGGGAAGAAAGATACTTACATCCCAATGGTAGCTGCTACCAAGAAAATGACTGGGGAAATCATGCATTTCAAAGTTAGAGAACTATGGAGTACAGTCTTTTCAGCTGCAACACATTTCTATAGTGCAAATTAATACCCATTTGGAAAATAAGAAAATAATACCATTGGTTCATATGTAATTTTCCCCCATCACATCAATGGTTTAAGGATTTCAGAGGCAAGCCTTCCTACAGTTAAAGAAGGAAGCCTTAAGCTAAGAATATTGCACTACTGTGGCAATGTAAGTAGTAGCTCATTTAATGGCTTCAAGAACTGGCGTACCTCTTATGTTAGGAAGCTATCTAGGAGTAGATGGGGAAGTAGAGAAGATATTTCCCAAGTGTTTAAAAACAATTGATTGTTGAAGAAAGCACAGATCCAGAGCAGATTTTTAATTTGGATGACAATGTTATCTATTGGAAGTCCATGCCCTCAAGTACCTACATCTAGCAGATTTAAGGTTGCAAAAATCAACTGTGACCTGGGTACAAATAGTGGTAATTGACATTTGCTGAGTGCTAGTTTTTTAATTGGATAATCATTATTTTTATTGGTATTTTGGTTACAAACTTAAATATGTTTCATATTTAATATGGCCCCATATTATTTTCCCCATAACCCATTATTTTTATACACAATTTTGTAGGATGCAGGGTTTTTAAAGCATTTATATATCCTGTTAAAATAGGAACACTTGTAAACAGTGTTATAGTAGAAACACCTATATTTCTTTCATTCCATTAAAGATTTTGCTGCGTGTCTTGCTTGCAGTGGGAGCATGACTTGGCATAAAGAATAAAATAATAAGAGGCACTGTGAATAAAAACACCTTTTGCAATTAAGTAGCTAACAAGTTCAGACAAGGAAAGATAAAATAACCCAGTTTCAAAGTGCTTTCTTAAATAATAAAATTTGTTCAAAGGTGCAGCATCACAGGTGCTTCATTTCAGTTCTTTGGTCTCTAAATTTGTAACTCTGTGTGTGTGTGTGTGTGTGTGTGTGTGTGTGTGTGTGTGTGTGTGTAGCACCAGAGGAAGAAAAATATTTTAATAAAATATAAATATTATAGTAATGTTCAAGTTCAGATGCAGATACTACATTTTTGATAAAATTTGAAAATGTCTATAAGAGAAAATCAGTAAAGATAAAGACTTGAACAGCACTATCAACCAACTTGACCTAATTGACATTTATATAATCCTATACCCAACACCAGCGGAATACACATTCTCTTCAAGTACACATAGAACATTTACCAAGATAGATCATATTCTGGGCCATAGAAAAAGTCTCATTAAATTTAAAAGGATTCAATTCATACAGAGTATGTTCCCTGACTACAGTTGAATTAAATTAGAAATCCATAACAGAAAGAACTCTGGAAAATTTTGAAATATTCAGAAACTAAATAGAACACTTTAAAATAACTCATGGTCAAAGAAGAAATCAAAAGAGAAACTAGAAAGTATTTTCAACTGAAAATGAAAATATAACATATCAAAATTCATTAGATGCCATTAAAGCAGTCCTTATGGGGAAATGATAACACTAAAATCCATATTAGAATAGGAGAAAGATCTACTTTATGAAACAAAAAAAAAGCAAATTGAGTCCCAAAATAAGCAGAAGAAAGGAAATAATAAAGATGAAAGTGGAAATTGATGAAATAGAACAACAACAACAAAATCAGAAATAAACCGTGAAACCAAAGCTCTTTATTAAGGTCAATAAAATTGACCAACCTCTACTTCAAATGATGGGGGGGGGAGTAGAATATATAATGACCTGAATAAGGAAAGAGAGGTGACATCACCCAAGATTCTACAGATATTAGAAGGATAATAAGGTAATGTTAAGAACAACTGTAGCAGGTAGTCTCTAACATGTTCTGCATTAATTCCAATCTCCTGATAGTCACAATCTTGGGAAATCCCCTCTCTTTGAAGATGGGCTGGAATTACTGACTTGCTTATTAATGTGATATCACTTTTAGGATAAGTTTACAAAAAGACTGTGGCTTCCTTCTTGGATCTCTCTCGCTCTTTCACTTTGTCACTTTGAGGGAGGCCACCTTCTTGTTGTGAGCTGCCCTATGGAGAGGCTCACATGGCAAGCAACTGATTTCTAGTCTGCATCCAGCAAGGACTGAGGCTTACTAACAGCCATGTCAATGAACTTGAAAACAGATCCTTTGAGACATGCTAATAGCAATGAGGTTGGAAGCAGATTTTACCCCAGCTGAGCCTTGGAGGACTGCAGCAATGGCTGGCCCCTTGACTGCATCCTTGTGCAAGATCCTGAGCTAGAGGCTCCCAGCTAATCTGTGCCTGTATTGTTGAAGAAATGTTACCAGTTTTACAGAACATCTTCTGAAACACTGAAAATCATGGCGCATTCCCTAATTCATTCTATGAGAACAGTATTACCCTGGTATCAAAACCTAGTAAAGACATTAGAAGGAAAAAAAACCCTGTAAGTTAATACCCTTCATGACCATAGATCCAAAATTCTAAACAAGATTTTAACAAATTGAGTCCAACCAAATATCAAAAGGATAATACATCATGATGAAGTGAGATTTATCCCAGGAATGAAAGGTTCAATTAACATCCAAAGATTAATCATATAATTCACCATATTTACCAACTTAAAATAATGATAATCTTTCTAGACAGAGAAAAAGGATTTTGACAAGATTCAACATCCATTCCTGATAAAGTCTCAACAAACTAGCAATAGAAGAGAACTACTTCAACCTAACAAAGTACATCTGTGAAAAAAAAACTATAGCCAACACCGATTTTTAGTGGTAAAAGACCGATTGCTTTCCCATTAAGATCAGAAACAAGACAAGATGTCCGCTCTCACCACTTTTATTCAATGATGGAGATCTTAGCCAGTGCAATAAGATAAGAAAAAGACAATAGAAGGCACCTGGTTTAGAAAGGAAGAATTAAAATGGCTTTACCCTCTGGTGACCTGATTGTGTATGTAGAAAATTCAATAGAATCTATTTTTTAAAGAACTACTAGAACTAATAAATGAGTTTAGAAAGGTT